TATATATATATATATGAGTGTATATATTCATTCAACTACTTACTTTCGAAGATTTCTATAGGATTATGGTTGCATGTGTGGATGCTAAGAAATTGAATCATGTAATATAAATGTATATATTATATATCAATATATATGTATATATAATATGTAATATATAAGTATATATATACATTAAAGGTATATGAGAAACTATAAAAAATGTCGTAAAAACGTAAAATAATGTTTTCATGTTTTTCTTTTTATTTTCTTTTTTTTTTTTTAATAATATCTCGATCAACCTGAAAGAGAAATATTTAATTTTATTGTTCGTAAAATAATTGAAAAAAAAAAAAAAAAACTATTAGATTTTATGGAGAAAAAATACGATGATTGATATCGCGCATAAATATCTAGTTTGCTTAACGTTTTTGCTTACCCACGTTTCTCCTTTATTCATCATATACTATTTATATGTATATATATATATATATATATATATATATATATATACCTACATTTCTCTCGTTTTCACCCCTTCCAACGATTCACGAAGGACGTTGAACCTGCCGCCACGACTACAACCCCACGTAAGGCACGCGCTGTTACAGGGAGGGAAGTGAACGTCTTGTGTTTCGGTTTAACGCTTCCTCCTCTCTTTTGGGCATTAATGATTTTCTTCTTCCTCTTGGTAATTCCCACATTTGGGAACGCGTTTTTATTTATGTCATTTTTCTTTTTATTCCACGTGTCATTGCCCTTTTCCGCATTTACGAGGTTTCTTTTTTTTTTTTGTCCTCTGTCACTCAAATTGGCTCTTTGAATGTATGAAATATACATAGATCATTTTTAGATTTTTTTATTCTATAATAAGATAATATTATTACGTGCAAATTTTATTCCAAAGATAAAAACGGGAGTTAAGTAATAAATTCATGATTGGGGAATAGGATTTTGATTATCAATTAATATCTTTTTCTTTTCTTTTTTTCGAGACTCCTTTTTTACTTTACAAAATATTCCCCCCCCCCCAGTTAGGTTAAGTATTTATCTTTTTTTACATTTGTATTATTTATTATAAATAATTCTTCACAAACGTAATTTTCATTTCGTTAAATAATATTAAATAATTAATTAAATCCTTTGACGATATATGAGAAAGTGAAATATGAATTATTACGTGCATTCATGCAAAGATTTATCGTAGCAAATTTATAGCAATCATCAACGTTTATTGTGGAGAATCTTAGTATTATTATTTTAAAAGAGTAACGTTATAAATACAGCCCTTGTCAAAGAGTAACTAAAATCACGACTGGCCGCGGGGCACTTAGAGAACAGGGGAATATCGAGTTCAAAGGACATTGAGAAGGCCGAAGGTCGCCTTCCTATCCAAGCAACCCTCTCACTCTCTCTCCTCTCTCTTTCTCTCTGTCTGTCTCTCTCTCTCTGTCTCTCTTTCGGCGTCCTCGACACGACGGCATTTAGCAAAGCAGGTCGTGAACTTCGGTGGAGAGATTGAATGGGGCACTGGAGCACAATCCTAAGGTCGTCTGGCGAGTACTCGTGGCACGAAGCTCGTATCGAGAGAGAAAGGGAGACAGCGTGAAACGTTTGCCTTCGAGAGTGAACGAGAGAGAGAAAGAGAAAGCGAAAGAGAAAGAGAGGGGTGGGGGTGTAGAAGAGGAAACGAGAAGGTCGGAGGGTAGAGAAAGAGAGAGATAAGGATGGTAATAAGGGTGCAAACGGTAGACGTAGAATGAGAGTGAAAGAGAGAGAGAAAGAGTAGGACGCACGAGACACGCAAAGGAGATCCGCAAGGCGTTGAAAGGGGAAAGGAGCGAGAGGGATAGATAGACAGATAGAAAGAGAGCAAAATTGCTAGTGAAAGCGAGAAAGGTAGAGAATGAAAGAGGTAGTAGTAGTAGGAAGCGGGGAGGATTCAGATATCACGCCTGACCCCACGGTTTCTCTCTCTTGCTCGTTCACTCGCTCGCTTCCTCCGGGTGGCTGGTTGACTGGATGGTTGGGTGGATAGCTGGCTGGCTGGCTGGCTGGCTGGCATGGCATGGCTGGCTGGCTGACTGGCTGACTGGCTGACTGGCTTGGGGCGAAAATCCAGCGCGTAAACTCGCGCACCATGCCACTACAAACTCCACTCCACGGGCTTCTCTACCTCTGCTGCTGCCTCTCTACTTTTACCAGCCAACAAACCCGACCTTCCTGCCAGCCTGCCTGTCTACCTCTGCTACCTCTGCTGTTACTGCTGCTTGCTTGCTTCCTACGACTACCACACTGATCTACTACTACTACTACTACTATTACTATTACTATTACTACTGCTGCTACTACTACTACACTCTTCCTCCTCCTCCTCCTCCTCCTCCTCCTCCTCCTCATCCTCAACGATCACTACTGCTGTTACTATCACCGACACGCTCTCTTGCTACTGCTACTGCTGCTGCTGCTGTTGCTGCTGCTGCTGCTGCTGCTGCTGCCGTAGTGCCCGTTACGACCTACGATCGCTATTCATGAATGAAACCCACGTGCTAACCACGTGTTCACCGATAAAGATTCTTCCTATGCGAAAGATCCTAATACTTGATGATAATACTTGTCAATTGATCACGATATGAAGTATTACTTGTTTTTATTATTTTGTGATACAATTAATTTCATAATTTTTTTTTTTTTTAATAAATCAATGAAGATAAATATCTTTTGTAAGGATAGATAACTATACTTTTGATTTTTTATTAGAGAATGAAAATGAAATAATTAATTGGTCAGGAATTAGAGAGAATGAAAATAGAAATGCAATGTGATGAGATATAATTTTTTGTTGTTTTTTTTGGTAGGATGTATGAATGGGTTGGACAAGGTAAATAAACGACTCTCGGACTAAAAGCACTTCGTTTCGAGCTCGCCGTTTCGCCGGTGTGGTTGTCATTGACTTACGAGCAAGATAAAGATATATATGTGTGTATGTATGTATGAATGTATGTGTATATACCAGAGATGTGTAAAATTACAGGTACGAATTTTTTTTGAAAAGTCTAACTCGTATAATAACATTCTTATGAATGTTCGAGCAAACCGATGTTTACGGATATTTTGATTTGGTGAAAAAGTTTGACATTTTTGGGTCTAGTCAAAAGAAATTTATTTCGATATATCTTTTTATTTTGGAACATTCAATTTTGTATAACCAGGAACAAATGTATAAGACATCCTATTAATTTTTCTATTTTCATTTTCGTGAAATTTCTATTACATTTTTGATATTAGTCTTGACAGTAATGTCTTCAATAATTTATCTTTGAACATTTCCAAATTTAATACTAGCTTTGGAATATATTGAATATATTTTTGATATATATATTTTATTTGAAAATAAATGTTTCACAGTTGTTACAAGAGAAATATTGAAAAATGTCGAGAAAATTTATCAATGATAAGAAATAATCATTTCAATTAGTGCAAGAGGAAGTTAAATATTAATTGTAATATTTCAACGCACATGCTATGTTTAAACAGTTTATTGTTTTATACGTATAATTGAATAAGCTTCCGTTTATATAAGAAGAAACAAAAAAAAAAAAAAATGCGAGGAAATTTAAATTTAACAGAGTTGAATCTCATCGAAGTAATAATTACCTTTACGGAGCCCCCCATTGAAGATGCCACGAAAATATATTCGACGGTGAAAAATATCCGACGATCTTTCCTCTCAAATATTTTCTATTTTATTTCGGATTAAAATTGAATCGGAAGGCAAACACGTTAATTAAAGATATATAAGCAATTAATGTTCAGAATTTAACGTTTATATACGAAAATAGTAGTTCGTTATATACGTATATAGTCATTCGAAATAAACGTTTAAAGATAATTTGATGATAATATATGTATATTAAAAATGATAGAAAATATCGTATCATTATTACATTCCAGCCAGGACAAAATCATAAAGGATAATTTTCGCTAATATCAAGACCATTAAAAAGATTTCCTTTTTCCTTCGTTACCATATAAAATGTGAGGATTAGCTTAGAGTTAATTTTAACGCGCTTCTCTCTCTTCTACGAGATCGATCCCAATTTCCGCGTTATTATCACGAACGAAAAGTAGCAGACAAAGAGTATATAGATATATTCATCCATTCCTACGAATCTACATATATATATATATATATATATATATGTATATAACATATGTAATACATACATCCATATAATTTTGAGAGTAGTTTCGACGGTGTAGTGGCGCGGGACGTTCGCGATTCTGTCTTTACTGCGCATCTACCTACTACTCTCTTCTCATACATACCCACATATACATTCATGTACACGTAATCTTAATAGTGGTGTAGTAAAAGTCTAGCACGGGGTATAATAGAGTGGGAAAAGAAGGAAAAAAATAAAGAAAGGAAAATTGCGAGAGTGAGTGAGGGAATAGGTAAGATGTTTTTCTGTAAAGAAGAGAACAGAGAGAGAGAGAGAGAGAGAGAGAGAATAGGATATAGATACAAATGAAGAGAGGAAGAAAAACAGTAGCAGCAGCAGCAGCAGCAGTAGACAACCAAAAGAAAGAAAGAAAGAGATGTGTATGCAGTTAAACGGTAGAAGATAAAAAGAGAAATGGATGACAGTAGTTAAACAGAGAGAGAGAGAGAGAGAGAGGGATAGGTAGGAGGTGGTAGGGCCGATTGCATTGCTGGGGGTGGGTGGGAAAAGAGAGAGAGGGGTATCGTGGCACCCCTCCGCTCTCCCTTCTACCCCTTTCCCCTTGAGTCCCTGTTTCACTCCCACCCTTCATCACGGGAGGCTCGTGCACGCGACTCAGTCGCGCACTGCGTCGACGGTGGTCGACTATCGCTTGGCAGCACGCGTTGCGCGCACGACGCGAGTCGCGCGACCTAGCCTAATCCGCGTGGGGCGCTTATCTCGAGCGTACTAACCTCAAAGCCGCGAGGGGGGAAACAGGAGAAGAAAGAGTATAGCGGGAGGTGGAGCAAAGGCGGTGAAGGAGGAGGAGGAGAAYTACCTGGAGGATTCGCTGGCCTCCTGTCGTCGTGTTGAATACGCCCGTGGAATCCTTTCTCGATCACGTGAGAGAAAGAGAGAAAGAGAGATAGAGAGAAATAAAAAGATAAAAAGAGGACGAACGAGAGAGTTGGAGCCCTTGGCTATAGAACGGAAGAGCAATAACTTAATCGTCGCCACGTGTCGTCCAATCTTCTGTCTTTTTTCTTCTTATTATTCTTATTCTTGTTGTTTTATTCTTAGACTTTTTTAAGTTGTCCTCTTAATAATATTGTTAATTAACAAAGGAAGACTAACGCAGAAGGACTTTTGGAAGAGAGGAAGAGGTGACGGTCGTTGGGAGATGATGGGGTGGTGGGGATACGATCTCGTGAGACAATCGTTGATCGAAAGTAATCCGCCATGTCAGGGGGACACCATAATATCGTTGACAAGAAGCCTACGATAATCGTTTAAGGCGTTTGATGATTTTTTGAGAATCGATCGATAGGATCGCATCGCGTAACGTTACTTGTTACGTTTCATTGCTCCGTTACGATTTATACGTTCGTTCGTTCGTTCGTTCGTTCGTACGTACGGTTGTTTGTTTGTTTGTTTGTTTGTTCGGTAAAAAAGTATAGACGCCGGTAAGTTAGTTCGTTCCTTCGTTCCTTCGTTTATTCGTTCGTTCGTTCGTTCGTTCGTCGTTCGAGCCGAAGGAAAAGCCGAGTGTTCGCGATACATTCGTTCATTCGTCGTTTGTTCGTTCGTACGGTCGTTCGTTCGTTCCTTCGTTCGTTTGTTTCTTCGTTAATTTTCGATTTCGTGCCGCGATAATCGAAAAAGTGTAAAACGTGATAAACATAAACGTTAAATAATAAAAAGAAACATTGAAAAAGGATTTAATCCTCCTCATAAGATCGAATAGAAAAGTGTTGTTTTGTTCAATCTTCCTGTGAATGGATGGCGAACATAGGTGTTGAAGAAACAACGAGGATCGTACGATGAGCGACGGTATTGCCGGTGCGATCGCGATCAGTTTGTTCGGTAGCGATCAATCGATCTTGTGTCTTCGATCTGGTGCCACTTGACGATTCTTCCTTTTGTTTTTTTTCACTCATCAAGGACTCGTATTCCAGGAGACGAGAAGAAGAGGAGGGACAGCATGGACACTGCAGGTTATTCGGCTCTTTCCAATGACGACGTTTGCAGAATGTTCGATCAGTATTCCTATAAGGTTAGTTTTATTATTTCTAATTAATATTTTATCGATTATTGTTTTATAGACGTTATCAATTTTTATTGATAATTATTGGACGTTCGTTAAGTTTATTACGAACATTATTCTCCAATTTGAAGGGTGATTGAATTTGATAGAAAGTTTATGAGAATATGTATATATATATAGAAGCATATTTACAAGGGGTTTTTTAATGGTGATTATTATATAATATCTCAATACATATTAGTTATAAACTATTGATTATATTTTCATTATCTTTGAATTTTGTTCATCTTCATCTACGTAATTAGCATGAAGAAGAGTTTGGCGCGCTTTTTGAAGGCGCACTCTTTTGGATTTGATTGGAACTACATCGTTAATGTTTCTCAAAGAAAACGTTCGATTATTTTTCTAGAAATAAAGATATGTTATATTTTACATTAATATTTCTTTTCCAATAGTTAATTTCACATAGTTTAGAAAAGATTTTTGAACGTTACCAATCTTTGAAGAGATTCTTTATTTTATTTGCGGCTACTCCATAGTATTCTTTCTTTCTCTCTCTCTCTCTCTCTCTCTCTCACTCACTTTTTCTTCATCTTTATTTCTCTACTTGACGATATATCTTTTCTTATCGAAAGTACGAAAGTTATAATGCAAAAGTTTTCTGCGAAAAACTTTCTTTTTATGCGCCACTCTCTCTCTCTCTCTCTCTCTCTCTCTCTTTCTTTTTTTCTCTCTCTCTCTCTCTCACTGTAATTACTTTCGTGAAATATGGTGAAGTTCCTTTTATTCGCGATATACAATAAATCCTATCTATCTCTCTCTCTCTCTTTCTCTTTCTTTCTTTCTCTCATTTCCAAGCGTAATAGCTTTCTCGGAAAACGTTGTATAATCTCGTTTCCCATTGTTCGCTGTTAAGAAAAAGAATGGAAAAATTATTAATCGTTTCAACTGTGTACGCGCCGAAGAGAGAGAGAGAGAGAGAGAAAAAGATGGAGAGAGGAGGGGGTGAGAGAGAGAGAGAGAAAGAAAGAGGAAGTGGGGGAGGTACGTAGTAACGTTCTAGAAATTTTTTTAAACATTCTACTATCGTGTAATCAAAAATAATTCCCTAGATTGACTTSATCATTTTTAACAAACAAAAACAAAAACAAAATATTAAATTTACAAATTCGTTAACTTTTCTCGAAACTTCTTTTTTTTTTTTTTCAAACTTTTCAGAAGTTTAGTTCGAAACGAACAAAACAAGGAAACGAATAAATGTTTAAAACCTCTCGTAAAAAATAATAAACATTTTCGAATGATTATCTGAACATTTTTATTGCATCGTCACGTATTTGTTACCTAAAAGTGAAATAAAATATGGATACAAAAGTATATACAAAAAATGTTTTAACTATATTAGAGAAAGAAGTAAGAAAATAAAGATAATAATAATAATAATAATAATAATAATAATAATAATAATAATAATAATAATAATAATAATATTGTAAAACTAAAGATAAAGTTAAGAATAATTTGAGAAAGTGAAATCATCCAGATTTTCTCGTACGATCTGATTTGAAATGTTGGTCTAAATGAAATCTGTTTCTGTCTTTGTTTCAATATTTCTTTCCTTCTCTGTTTCTCTTACTGTCAATGTCCCACAGAGTTTGGCATCACACAATCGATGTTTCCAATCTGGTGTATCCATCGGCAAAAGCATCCGATCGGTCTACAGAGAGAACTGTACAACAAAGCAGAGAGAATCTAATAATGCAGACTCTATACGTTTAATCAGCCTTGCCTTGTTTGCTAATATATAGTATATATATATATATATATATATATATATATATATATATATATACTATATAATACAATACAATATTATTAATATATACAAGAGAGTCCTCCACGTTAGTCACAGGTCACTGTCACAGTCACAGGTTATTTTTCAAATTTTTTCAAATTTTTCTTCATATTTATTTTTATTTTTCTTTTTTAATTTTTAACAATTTTCTATCCATTGATATACAATCTATACAATATATTTATAATAATATGTATTATTAAAATAATTAATATTTATTATTAATTATTATTAAAATAATTACTATTA